ATGAATATAATATATATATATATATATATAATAGTTTATATAATATAATTTAAAATAATGATAATATATGATGGGTTATATATGTATATATATAACAACAACAATAATAATAAATATTGATTGAGTTTAACTCTTGATGGAAACCAAAACAATTCAATTCCCTATACATTTAACACCTCATGTAAAGAGGTGTCATTACCACTCCTTATTTAAATTAGTAAGCTATATAAAGCAGGGTCCATTTTATTAAATAAATATTATATTATATAAATTCATTAAAATATTTATATCAGTAGTTTATAATTTATAGTATATTTTTATTTATTTAACTTAGACATAAATTATGAATTGTGATATTAATAGTTATTGGATTATAGATAAACAAAATGATATTATTAACCCAATTTCATATAACAAAACATGTACAGTAATAAAATATATTAATTAGTTATAAACAAACGTATCTAAAAATTTGAAGGTTTAAATTATTACACTAAAATTACACAAATTTATTTTTATTTAATTTTTAAATTTAAGTAAATAAGTCGTATTAAATTTGAAAGTACAAAACATAAATACAATTGTCTTTGTCTTATAACGAATTATTTTTTCCAAGCAATTTGATCGGAAAACATGTTGATCTTGTAACATTTGATTGCATGGATATCACGTTGTCAATCAATATATATATATAATCGATATCTTGTTAATTCACAATTATATTATTCCAAACATTATAACTTGACATCCATTTCATCACATATTACAAAACTAATAGGTTGCATGTAAAAACGGATACAATTTAGTTTTTTTTTTAACTTTATGATAATAATTGAGGAAAATTCATTATATTAAATAAAAATTAAAACAAACTTTGTTATATATAACATATATCATGATAAAACTAAATCAATTCTAATATATACTAGTATATATGCTCATGCAAAACAAACATATGTAATATTTTACTGTAACTCGAGAAAAAAAGTTGATTTTATTTAAAATAAAATATAAAAAGATAGAGTATGGTGTTGTATTATTAATTAATGTTCTAACGTTTTTTGTTGATTTAAATATTTTTATTAGTTGTTTATCAATTAGTTTTATAGAGTCGAGACATGATTTTTAACAGATAGAAATATATATATATATATATATATATATAGAGAGAGAGAGAGAGAGAGAGAGGGAGGGAGAGAGGAGTGATCAATTGCAAACTACCCTCATTTGTGAAAATCTTACAAACCAATCTTATCTATCAACTTTTTTAATCGATGGATTAAATGTGTTTATATTATAAAATAAAAAAGAAAATAAAAATAAAAGTCTAATTTTTAATTAAAAAGGGGAAAAATTGTCAAAATTTTAATTTGTATGATTTTGTAAACGAGTTAACAAGATTGTGGATATTCTAACATTAATGAAACAAAATCATTGTTTTAAAATCTTTATATATCATTTTATCATTACAAAGATTTTAACCAAAAATGTTAGAATAATCTGACAAATTATATGTTTGATAAAAATTATCTTCATTTTATTCTAAATATTATAAATAAAATAACATCCACATTAAAAATAGATCCAAGTAAGAAGCAATGAAACTAGATATATCCTAATAAATTATGAAACATAAAAACATACTTTAATCAACAAAAAATAATGAAACCTTTTGAATACTAAAGAAAATATTTTGTTTCATTAAATGAATGAATGAAACTGTTTAACCATTTATGTTATAAACTCACGTAACTGCTTGTCGCCTACAATGAAAGATAGATCATTTGACATGTAGTAGTGAACGATATATGAAACTATTTCATTAACGGTTATTGAAGTAGGATTGTATTCTTAATAATTTCTAATCAAACTAATTTTAAAACAAGGGATATCCTAATAAACGATAAAACATATAAAAAATGAAACATTTTTGAAAATTGAATGAAATATTTTGAAAATTGAATACTTTATTTTCGTAAGTGAAACTTTTTCATGCATAAAAAGTTTCGAAATATTAATAAATTAAAATCATCAGTGAAATTGTGTTCATGGTCACTATTGACCATGACATTTGTTTCATTATTCAAACTACATATATTTTTTCAATGAAACGAAATTAGATTTCATATTGTAGTGCTTTTACAATTCATATTTTAATAGGTATAATTTCATAAAATAATAAAAACTATTAATGGTAAAAAAATTATATTAAAAAAATTGATTTATCACCTTCTATATTAAATGTTTCTATTATTACGTTTCCATAATTAAGAATAATTATTACCTTCCAATATTAACTAGTATACAATCAAATGATCATTATACCTTTACTTATTAAAATTAAAGAAAAAAAAACAGAATTTTTCTATTAGTCGAAAATGTTTTGCATAGTTTTCATGAATTGGGCGGTTTGTAATATAACCCACCTCTCTCTCCCTCTCTTTATATATATATATATATATATATATATATATATATATATATATATTAGAAGGGTATTCGTGCAATGCAGCGAGATACATCTCAATTTTAATATTTTGATTTACTTTGTCTTCATCAATATTATAATACGATTTATGTGACTGAAAAAACGATGATGTTTTTATTTTTTGAATAAAATATAAATTTGAAGGTATTATAGAATTTTGAAAAAAAAGTATCAGTTTTAGTATCAAATTAAATATTTAAAAATTCAATGTTTTTTTGTATAATTTATTTAATTCAACTTTTTATCATAATTTAATTTAGATTTAGTAATAAAATCATTTATTTTTTGTTTGATAATATAATTTTTTTATAAAGATAATAATTACTATTTTGTTATAATTGAATGATTATTCTAAATATATATTAAATTTTTCATATTTAAAATAAGATACTTATTCAGTATTTGATTATATTTATTTGCATTTTTAATTACACAAGTTTAAATATGAAGCTTTAATAAGTTGTACATACGTAAAATTTACTTATAATCTTGAATTTTAAGTAATATGCATCAATAAACAGTACTTAATACATAAAAATTGGTTTTTAAGAGTTTTTATCGATTGCTTTGTAATATACTATAGATATGGAAGAAAGTTGATCGTTTAAATATTGTTTGAAATTACAAAAATACATTATCTTTTGATACCATCCAAATGTTTGGTGAATAAATTTGATATGGTAATCCTTTCACAAAAAGAGATTGATATGGTAATGAATTATGATATGGTTTTTATTCGACGTGGATCAATTATAACTTGAAAAATATAACGAGTAACAATAGTAGTGAAATTGTAGAAATGTTTGAGATTAACCTCAATATGGTGATATGAGTTTGGATGTTTCCTTCTTTTGTTCAGTAATGGCAATCTACCAGTGCGGTGGCTGGAAAGACGAGAGGTTGTTGTGAGGAACTCGCCGTCAACTGAAAATTTGAATGGACGTCGTCGATAACCTCTGGCGCGGGAAGGTTTAGATCTAAAGACAACACAGGCGATTTTTCGGTGATATGATGACCAATCCTATCGTCTATATTCATTGATACAACGATTTGGTTGCTCGGAGGCGGAGCTGTCCGGTGTCTTCTCATATGACCGCCGAGAGCTTGTCCTGATAAGAACTCCGATCCGCATATTGAGCATTCATGAACTTTTCCCTTACTGTTCTTGTAACCTGATTGGATAAAACCAGGCGGCGGAGATGGAGAATTGATGTTATTTGTATTGATTTTGTTTTCTTCGTACTCAACGAGAAGTTCTGGTTGATGTTCTCCGGAAAATTCCATTTTAATGGAAACAGAGTTCCTATCTTCAATCGTAAGTTTCGGTTTCTTGTGACTAGCTCTGTGTCCACCTAAGGCTTGGAATGACGGAAAAGCGCGGTTACAGGTTTTACACTCGTAGTTGTGGAAACCAGATTTTCCTCCGTCTCCGGCGGTGGAAGAGGCGATCTCCGTTAACCTCCGATTTTTTATTTTCTCGGTCTTCTGAGAATGGAGATCTAATTTGTTTTCCTTGGGCGGAGAAACACTCTGAGCCAACATAATCAAGCAATTAGCCATGTCTTCCTCTTCTTCCTCCGCTAACATCGTGGATGACTGACCAGTTGTGTAGTAACTGAGCATACAACCACCATTGTAAGAGCTAGAGGCTGCCTCAACTGTAGTAAAAGGCGAACAAGGAATCTGGTGCTCCGTATGCTTTCCTGTGATGATTTGGTGGGCTCGATCTCCGCGCCTGGCCGCCGTGGATTCTGGCATAAAGTCCATTCCTGGCCTAGTGGCCTATGTCAAACCCTGAAAGCCTTTACACACAGAGAGAGAGAGAGAGAGAGAGAGAGAGAGAGAGAATGTGTGTGTTTTGTTTTGTTTGTTGGTGGTGCTCAACTGATCATGGAGAAAGAGTGAGGGATTTGTTTACATATATGTAAATTCCGAAAGTGTATAAACGGCTTCAAACTTTAGTCGCTAGTTCGGTCACAATTTGAATATTTATTTCTTTGTAAAATGGTAACTTGTTCCGATTTATATACATATGACAACATACTTGAATGTCTTAAATTCAGGGTTTTAAAACCATGGAGCAATATTAAATGTAAGACACGTCTTCGCCGTTACGATAAGACCTGGATCATTTCTACAACGCGTGGCTCACGCCATGGGCCCATGCCACCATGAGACGTGCCGCGGTGTGTGTTTTTACAAGTACAATGAAGCATGATTGTTATGATCAACCATTCACCAACTCACTAGTAATTAAGGCCAAAAGTCAATGAGAGTTACAAAAGGGCGTTTGGCCCAACAATATCCGGTAACCCAACCATTTTAGAGGTAAAAGGTTCCATCCAATAAACACTCACTTCCAAACCTATGTATTACAAACGATATACAAAATCGATGTCCAATATATGGAAATTATTCAGCTTCAGGTTGCAATTGCAACAATGTCTGATCAAGTGGTCACCCAAATTGGTTGATTAGATGATGTGCGCTGTTGATGATCATATTGGAGTTAAACCAACCACACCACACCACACCTATACAAAGCTGGGTTGGTTCAAAATTAGTCGCTGATGACTCAAAAGGTGGATCCAAGGTTCGATGAGTAGTAAAGTCATGGTTTCTTGATGAATTGAAGTTATGGTGAATGACACAGAGTAGCATTGAAAAAGAAGTGGTCAAAAAGTTTAAAAGTTATAGTTCCATATCACCATATACAGTCCTTGTTCTGTCTACTAAAACTGCACTTTGGAAAGCAAGATTTCACTGATGAATTATGTTTATGCCATAAGGAATCTAATTGGAACCATCCAAGATTAAAAGCATGTGATTAAAATTGGAAATAACTTAGGATATATAAATACAATAAACAATAAGCTATTCTAGAATATCATATGATATATGTATATAAAGCTTACAGCTCTACTGTATATGTTAGCAATAATGAATGTTTTGGATTAAAAGTATGACATGTTGTAGCTTAAATTTATATGCAATTGCCATATTCGTCCCACCATACATGAGTGTTTCTTCACGGCGTAATCGTTAAGCCACTTAGCGCTATATGGAATAAGCCAGGATCTCTCACTTGTTCCATTAAGCCATCTCAGACAAACTCAAACCAGAATAATCCAACCCTCTCTCTTTTTATCCCTCAAACCCATCAACGATAGACAATTTAATCCATTAAACAACCTCTTAATGATTAAAAACACACCAAGCTAGCTAAATAGAAAAGGTGCTACTAATCTACTAGACTCTGAGACCAGTGATAGTGTTTGTGTTCACTACCTTTTGGACAATATCCCAAATGGAAATGGTGGCCACTTTGAATCATATATTGCTGGTTGGTTTCAAAGTAGTGGTCCAACCATTCAGCATTCAATTCTTTAGTGGACAGACACTTGCGTTACTCTACATTTTTTTTTTTTTTTGCCTAAAATGAACCATTTGGAGGGGTATAGAAAAGGTCAAGTCCTTCCTAAATCTTGTGCTACGTTTTTTATAATAGTACGTTGCATGTAAATTTAGGTAACCTTAACCGAGCTTAAGTGATCGTTTGGAACTGATTTGAGAGGGATTAGCCATGACCGATGTAGGATTGGTTAGACCCTCTCGATTAAGCCTTTTTTATATGAAAAATCGGTTGTGGACCGGACCGTATATTGGACCGATTATGAGAAGTGGAAGGAGTATCCCCTTTCTAAGTTTCAATATACCATGGGCATGGGGCATCCTTTATTGGCCAATGGACTATTTGTTGTTGAGGCCCTTTGTTGCTTTTCTTTCTTCACCTTTTGCTATAAACACATTATATTTGTGTAAAAAGTAGGAGTTTTATCAGTTTAGGTGGGAAAAATTGTTCATGCCATTCTCGATATTTGTATTAAATTCAGGGGTAGACCTGATCGGGTTTTTGTGTATCCACTCATCCGATTATTGTAAGGAAAAAAAAAGTAGACGTCTGAAAAATATATCTGCTTGATTTTGAAAGGTGCTTTTAAATACTTTGAAACCAAAATCATAGTAGAAATTAAATATGGATGAGATGGTTGGATTACCACTCCATATGCAATAGGTCATGGGTTTGAATCTTATTTCAAGTGAAAGTTTGATTTTTTTATTTTTTTTTTGACTTTTAATCTTAAGCTCCAGAGTCAGAAGGGCATTAAGTCACAACGTTATTTCTGAAAATCCTAACAATAATATATAATTAGAAGAATCGAGATACAACCTCATGTACAATTATAAACATTACTATCACTATGTTAAGACGTTTTTTTGTTAATTTTTCTTCCATTTTGATCTTGTTATTTTTTCATAATTTATTTTTTTCCCCAAAGTCAATTCATCATTAAAATCGTCGCTTTTTATCTTATGTTAATGCAACATATATTTATTTTAAAGATCAAGGTCGATTTTATTTGAAAAATGTATCTTAATCCCAAATCAACAAAATTGACTTTTCCTAGGTCAAATTGTGTTGACTTTCTTCCCATGTGTTAAACCACGATTTTACGGACCTCTAATCCACCTTAAAGGTGCACTCGTTTCAAAGATATTAATGGGTCCGCCACTATTTAAATCTATCAAACTTATACTACAATTTGTTGTTTTTAATTTTGGTTTCGATAAATTTTCGTTTCATGATTATTTCCTACCGAATTCCAGTTTTCGCCTCAAATAATTCAAGGTTTCTAGTCGTGTCTTTGGTTCCTCAATTTGTTTCCAAAGTAATTAATGTCCAATTTTCAGTATCTGCAACATTGCCAGATATTTACAAATTGCACAAGCTATTTCGTAGCTTTGGAATCCACTTTTTCTTTAAGTGGCCATGTGCTTTTGGAACTAAAGACACGGCTTACACCGGAATTGCTCAAGGTTTGTGTATGCTTCATGATTGTACGGATAGTTGCAACTAGGTACAAGATACATAACCACTCGATAATGAATTCCATACGTTATGATGATATAACCGACAAGGAAAGAAGACAATATTCTAAAACTCCACCAATAGAAGGCGGATATTTAAGCGATACTTAGATTCGACGATGTCGATACTGGACCAGAAGATAACAATGTGCTTTAGTAGTTTTAGGAACTTTCTATTTTTTTTATGTATTTAATAGTTATGATTTTTACACAATCTACACGAGTGTTAGAGGATTGGATTATTTTATATCTATAATCAAATAAATAAATTATTATATGATTGAAATAAATAATATTTTTATATTTCGTGTTATATTAAAGACTTCAAAATGAATTAGAATACAAAAAAATAGTCGATATAATATTACTTAATACAAATACAAAAGTTACAATATTAAAAAATATGTACCGGTTAGGTGGATCGACTCAAAGGACAAATCAGTTGTTCAGTCCAATCGGTTATTGGTCAAGGACCCTACCGGTCAACCAGTTTGTCCATCTCTAATTGCACATATAAATAAGCGAGCCAACAGACAAATCTTTATCGAAAAGTTTCAACTCAAACTTGATTCAAATTTGAAAGAATCGGACTTTTATCGAGTTCGAGATGTATAATAAGTCAATTATAATTTATAAGAATTCTACTTTGAGTTTTATCAACATTTATGAGTCTTATGCTATTTAGTCGATTTTTAATATTTAATTACACTAAGTCTTCAATAATTAAATCTATATTTTTTGCCTAACTCGAATTAATATCATTTTATCGAATATGCGTTTGATATATATTTTAGAGTTATTTATATTATAAAATCAAACTTAAATTTTCTTATTTTTTGGGCTTGAACTAGTACAAATAGATTTGTCAAAATATTAAATCAATTCAAAATTTACCTAAAATTGACGAGTTAATTTCGTCATTTTACAGAAAATATCGTCAAATGCCACATGAGAGTAAATTATATTGTTAGAAATAGCAAAAACAAAAAGAAATGCAAACCACTGTGATAATTGGTGTCATTAGGCTGCGTTTGGTACATGTGACGGGACATGACAGGACGGGACAAAACTCACTGTCCCATGTTTGGCGCAACGTGGAACAGAATAAGAACCTACTGTCCCACTTTTGACGCGACAAGGGACAAGGACAAGAACTGTGACAAGGTGGGACAACATGAGACAAAAGAGGTTTTTTCTTGTTCCACCAAAATAGATGGGACAAGAATGGGTAACTTTTGGGGGTAGCTTGTCTAGTTCGGTCCCGTCCAGTCCTAGTCGTACCAAACGCCAGACACACTCCTGTTATGTCCAGTCCTGTCTCATCCAGTCCAGTCTTGTCCAGTCCTATCCCGTCCTGTCCAATTCTGTCTTGTTCAGTCCTATCCAATTATGTTTGCGTACCAAATGCTACCTAAATGAACCATATCGACTAAACCAAAATTTGTAACATACCACGTTAACCAAAAATGTAGTTTATTTTTAATATAGAAATCTAAGCATCAGATTACCAGCTTATAAAAATACCGCATAATTTTTTCAAATACCATTGTCACAACTATTTCTTAAGGTTGTGATGTCTGACATATTTTTACGAAATTTGACATTGTATAGATGAATTCACACAATGTATATTGATATTCGCATTACAGACACACCATAATAGAATTGTCAGTGCCTCGATATGTAAACCCATACACATACTAAAGTCATTTTCGTGAATAATGTATTTTACATGTCAAATCAAAATACATTTGGCATGCTAAGCAGGTTTAAATTGTAAACACATAACACGCGTATTATCTAAAAACGTACATAAACATGCATAATGGGTCAAATTAGAAGTTGTAAGATTCGGGTTTAAATTACGGGTTGTAGGAATAAATTGAAAAAGAATTTACTCTATACAACCTTTAACCTAAACCCAAAGCCACAATCCTCATTGTTCTCGCAACATCCAATATCCATTGTTGTTCTCTCCTCCTCTTATTACGATTCCAATATCCACTAAATCGTAAAGTAAATTCATTTTCACTTTATGAACAGTGAAAGAGAAAATGTGTGAATCATGTGTCCATTAAATGGAAAAAACATGTGACTCGATCTCATTGTTGTACTAAGAAATACTAAATGGTAAAAAAAACAAAGAAAAAATATGTTATTGATATAGCTATATTTTGACCCTTGTATTATAAAGGTTTGACACCATTTCACCCTCGTACTTAACGAAATGGTGGATGGATATTAGAGTTAGGGGTGTACAAAGAACCGTCAACCGGCGAAATCCATCCAACCCAACCCGCTAACAAGTAACAACCCAATTAAACCCATCCTGCCAAACTGTCAACCCGCTAATTAGGATGGTTGAAATTGGGTTAGCCTAGCTCAACCCAACCCAAATCGCCGACTCGCCGCTAACGTATATTATTTCGATAAAATTATGTATGTATGTATGTATGTATGTATGTATGTATGTATGTATGTATGTATGTATGTATGTATGTATGTATGTATGTATGTATGTATGTATGTATGTATATATATATATATTATTCACATCCATTATAATCTACAATCTAAAACTATATACATATATTAGTCCAATTTACAGCCCAAAGCCCAAAGCCCAAAATTATTGTAACATGTCCAAAATTAATCTAACTAGGGTGGGCACTCCATGAGCTATCTAGTAGTCCATCAAAACGCCTCAATCCCATTTTACCCCTTTATTCCCTTAACTCGAGTACACTAAAACAACTAGACCGAGTGTTGTTGGATGTCGTCGAACATTGTTGGATGTTGCTACTGCTGGACACCTTTGAAAAAACCTTTGACATCATGGACCATGTGTTGTTATTGATTTAATTCTTTTTTTACCTATATGGGATATATGTCCCACAATCTTGAGGAGTTTGTAGGAGTTTGAGATATTTACTCAATTTCTTTTCAAGAAAGATAAATATAGTGATCATACATGAAATTGTATGATATCAATGATCGATATGCACTTTAGGGGCCATTTGACAGTTGTTAAATGGTTTTTTGCAGAATGATTAAGATATTCTCATGATATAGTGCAAAATGAAATATAATCGTCTAGTAATTGTTTACAATGGAATTAGGGCGCTGAATGGTTAAGGGAGACACATGATACAAAATCATTCTGAAGGTTTTGGAACCATTAAGAGACATACTTTTTTTTATCAAACAAGATTCACTCTTAACAATTCAGAGGTTGTCTCTTTATGTAACTATTAATAAGTAAATAAACAACCCCTTAGTATATGATTTTCTCTTACATAGACGTTCTTATTTGTTGAAACCACAAATGTTTGGAAGTTGCTTTACTTTTTGTTGTAAATTTTTGTTTCCATTGCATAGATAAACATATGAAGTATGTCTATTACTAACCCAATCCAACTCACCCTGACTCGTAAAGGTTGGGTTGGGTTGGGTTGTAATTTAACAAATTCTTTTTTGAGAATATAACATTAATTAAAAAATATCTATCATTAAATGCATCATATATAATCGTTAAATTATGAGTTAGTTAATGCATGTAAATGATGGGTCCACGGTAAAGCAATCAAATCAAATCATTCTAGTAGATCTTGATTCTAATTTGCCGGCCCAACCGGAACTGACCGGGTAGGACCCATATCTCACCAATCGTCGTTCGTCACAGTCCCTAATCCGCCATATCCAAACACAGTCAAGTTTTAGATCACACGCCAAAAGCAGTCATCATCAAAACCTGCAATTATCTTCAACATCACCCTCTCCCCAGTTTCACAGGTTTCAAATTACGGGAAAAAACCCCCCCCAAATTTGTCGCAAAAGCTTGAAAGCGTTTGGGTGATTTATGCTATTCATATCAACCCTATTTACAATTTCGGTAGATCATCTTCAACCCTTTCGCATTAGAATAGGCTGATAGCCACATCAATTTATAAACTCCTTGATGATCATTTTGTAGAGAAATCAAGAAAATTCAACTACTATGATGATTTGACTGTAATAGTCAAATAGTTTTTGTATATGAGATGAAGAAGAATGCAGTAATAGTAGTCAATTTAAAGCAATTCTTTGGTATTTGGTCTCTGTTGAAGAATCACGGTCTTCGGAAAACGCCCTTTTCTTGTTAAACTCACCACAATTGTAGGTAATTTTTCGTAAAGATTCTTGACTGAGTAGATGGCGGACAGGTGGAGTTGGAATCACCAACGATGGCGATGGAATCTGGTAGGTGTCCAGCGGAGGAGGAGGGTGGCGCCAATGTGGGAGTGGTCCTGCCAGGAGAAGGTTCTGTAACAAAGGAGCTGCTTTCATGACTGCTTCTAAAAACTTCCCTTTTTCCGGCAACCCCTTTGTCTGAACTACCGGAAACCGCGATTCCTGCGGCTGCGGCGGCGGTGGTGGTGGTGGTAATTGAAGTGGGTTTTCGATGGGTGGAGAAGAAAGAATGCTTTCTTCACAATCTGAAGAAGAGAAGCCACAATTGGTGGTGATGGGTTCATCTTCAATACTTGAAACACCGGGCTGCGGCGGAGCTACGGTGGTTTGATAGTGTTTGTATCCGGCGTGGTGGTGAAACTGCTGTTGGAGAAGCAAGTTATCAATGAGAAACGATTGATATTTGTTTCGAGCTTCATTTCTTTCATTAATGGCGTCATTCAGAAGATCTTTGAGCTGATTTAACTGATCATCTCTTGCTCTGATCTCTTCTTGAACCCTGATCCTTGTTGCTTCAAGCTCCATTGTTGTCGACCAAAGTGACACTGCCAACTCCTCTGTACTCTGTTTCAATTCAAAATTCACATCAGAACAATATTTTTATATAGAAATTAAGCTTTTTAATTAGGGTTCTTAATTGCAGTAAAGAAAGAAGTAGTGAAAAGAGTGACCTTTTCTTTGTAGAGATATGGCCAATCAAGAACACAGTTGGATTGATCTTCCATTAATGAAAAATGTTCAAGAAGAGTGAAGAATGGAGAAGGTGAGAATGGGTCTTTTGGTCTTATAAAGACCGCTTTTCGCCACTAAGCTTCCTTTGCTCCCTCCTTCTAAACATGATTGCAAAGTTTTTTTATTATTAAATATTTAAAAATGGATTTTCTGGAAGAAATATAAAGTAAAAGTTAAATTACTGTTAAGTAAAATGTTTTCTTCTTTTAATAATTAGCATTTAAAGCTATTTATTTGTAACTTTATGTCCTAACTATTCTTTTAACTACCGTGGTACTTGGACATCACATATTTTTAAATTTTATTTAAATAAAAAACTAAAAGTTAAAATCTTTAAAAATAAATTACATTCATCTTTAACAAATTCCTTATTTTAGAGAATTCAACATTGATCATAATATTTAAATATTATTTTTTCTTTAGATATTTATTTCAAAGTTCCCTATTAATGGTCTCAATTGATAATCATTTTAAGTATGTTTTCCGTGTTGGGATAAAAAAACCTTCTCTCTATTACTTTGTCTGTTTCAAAGATAATTTTGAGAAAGCTGTTGAAGCAAAATATTGACTCAAAATCCTCATTTCATAATTTTAGAGAAACTGTTGGATTCTCGACTAGTTTTATAAGATACTGAAACTTACAGTCAATAAAAAATTTCAATGACCCTAAAATTAGGGATGTTTGTTGTGCGGTTTGATATCAAACCGTATCACATATTGGTTTTAGCATTTTTTTTCCTGACCGCAAAAAATCATATCTCAAATGGCAGTGCAATTTACACGGTTTGTACCTAATATACTTCATGCCTGTAATTCAATAATTACAAAATTAAAAACTTCATTATAAAATCAGTGACAACATAAGTGTGGTCTAGACAGATATAAAGTTTAAATATGTCTCGGTTCTAAATACATATTATATAATAAAAATAGTCTAAGAAGTAAAAAATTAACTCAAACTAAAAATATTACATAACTTAGGGCCGTTTACCAAATGCTTACTCGGATAAGCACTTGCCAAGTTACATTACCTTACCGAATGAATATTACAAGAATCAAGAATCTTACCCAGTAAAAGCGAAGCAAAGACCGAGAGTCTTACCCGGTAAGTGAGTGCAATGGCTCTTACCACAGTCAGCTCTTACCGGGTAAATTGTTGCATTGAAAGTCGTTTTTGTTGATTAAAATTTTATCCAGTAAGTAAATTATGGTGCTGAATTTTACTGTTGGGTGCTTAATTACCGGGTAGGTGTTTGGTAAACAGCCCCTTAGCCTAATTATTCCATATATGTAAGTAGGAAAAAGATCGTTTGAGTAGAAGTGTTAAGGTGAGAAATATAAGAAGGGATACGAACCCTAGATCATCAATAATCTCAAACACACCCATGAATCGCGTTTGATACGAGTATTGGTCTGGTGCATCGCGGTGCATCACATCCTAATGTGCATCTAAGGATGAAGATCCCTTCTTACACTTTTTACTTTAACTCGCTTTCTCACCGGAATCCAACCTTAGGAGAGGGATCAAATGTAAACCAAACGATCTGTACAAACCATACAAAACTCATTCAACCAATCATAAATTTTCTTATTCCTTTTCACTTTTTTTAATCATGAAAGTTAATTAATTATCTTATTGTGGAGGACGTTAATTATGGATATTATCATCTTCATTATATTAATTTTAGAGAACAAATTTCACCAAAAATAAGAAATACATGAAACAATTTCATTTTTTACATAAAAATAAAAATATATAAAACAACTCCATCAAGAAAAGAATTATACAAAACAATTTCATCATATTTAAACAATTTCATGAAATTAAACAATGGAATCGACGGTCTGTATAGTTTATACAAATGGTTTGATTTACATTTGATCTTTCCCCTATATATATAATGTGCGGTGCAGTTTGAACCGCGGTTTGTTAACTCAAAAACGTACCCATATAATACGGTTTGATAAAAATGCAAATAACAAACCAGACAGTTCTAAACCATGCTTTATAATACAAGGTATGAATAATTTACACAGTTTAACGGTTTAAATAAACATCCCAAACTAAATTGATTAAATTCGGTAATTTCTATAAAGCAAACTCAAAAGCTTGGATGCAATGTAGCTTTATGTCATACGTGATACACATGATGTTTTTTGTCATGTTATTGCATAAAAAACGTATCAGTATGACCAATTTCAGCCTACTCGTATGCACGCCAAAATTTGGCATGTGGGGTCTTCATTAAACACAGCAAATATAGGAATTTAGTATATAAGAACCAAAAGATGTAGTTGACGAGGAATAACAAACAAAACGTTTTAAGTGACAAGCAGAGTATATCTTTTAGTTATTTTATGTATTGAAACATTTTGCCTAACTATTTTGTTAAATTATATTACTGACTAAGGGGCAGTTTACCTAAATGCTTACCCGGTAAGTGCTTATCGGTAAAATTCAACACTATCATTTATTTACCGAGTAAGATTTGAGTCCACAAAAACGACATCGTATGTAATAATTTATCTGGTAAGCGTTAACCGTGGTAAGAGTCCTCGTCATCTCTTACCGGGTAAGACTTTCGGTCTTTGCCTTTGCTCTTACCGGGTAAGATTCTTGGTCCTTGTCATATTTATCCGGTAAGGTAATGTGGTCTATGGAAGAATAAAGTTAACTGAATAAAATGGGTTACTATCATAAATAACTATATGGAGAAAAAAAATTTATTTTTTAGCCACGTTCATTTTATTTCACAAAATAGCTAACGAAACCGCAAAGTCAACACAAAACATTTTTTCTTGCCGTTTATGTCATTTTTTGATGAATCCATATGATAATTGGGGTCACAGCAAAAATAAATTGTGGGACCGCAAGAATATGGGTCGACGCACAAAAAGCAAGTCAAGGTTGTAGCTTCCAGCATCGCAAGGACATGCTGCGGTTAGAGGCGCTGCAAGAAAAAACGTATTGCATTATTGACTTGTGGTTTCTTAACTACTATGTGGAGAGAAAAAATATATGGAGGTTTTTAGCCAAATGGTTGAGTTCCAGTGAGAATGAGAGTTAAGGTGAGATCCGTAAGAAATGATCTCCATCCTTGGATGCATGTTATGATGAGATGTACTGGATCAATCACGTATCAAACGCTATTCACGGGTGAGTTTGAGATTAAAGGTGATCAATGATCTATATCACTTCTTTAGCTTCTCACTTTAACTCTACTTCTCACATGATCTTTCTAATTTTAATGCGGAAAAAGTGATTCCAGTTTCCAAAAATGGTCAAGCATTCAAGTGAGAAATTTTGGTTATGAGTTAAGGTCCAGTTCAAAATTTTGGCTGCGATATTAAAGATAAATTTATAATTTCTAATTTATATATTAAAAAAAAAAGACCGTAAAACCAAACAGAAAGGTGCAAAGGATGTCTAGTTAGGGTCATATGCAAATTTTATCCTTTAGTTTGGGATAATTACAACTTTTCAATGATTTTAAAAATTGTTTCTACTTATATCCAAACATATAAAATGTTTGGTTTTTGACAATTATCGCTCCTGCCTAAAAAATATTTTACAAGAATAATCTGTTAGATTTTGGAAACAGAATATCAAAATTACTTGGATAATTCAAAGATCATGTATAAAACACTTTCAAAAATCTGTGATTTCAACCTTATTTGCATGGGGTATCATGAAATCAGATTTGGGATAATCCAAGAACAACAAATCTGGAATTGAGGCAAAATCCAAGATTACAAACACATAATATATTGCTTGTTTATGTTCTTTTAACGACAAAATCCTGCAGAGTAACAGTGTACACAAAAAAAAAATCATCTGCAATCATCGAGTGAAGCCTTATATAGCCACCGGCGGTTAAGTCGGTTATTTTTGGCGGGAAGTTGTGTCTATTCCCAAAAAATGCCACTGTTCGAGTGTTCCCGAGATCAACTTAACTTATCCGAGCGTGGACTTCACACCTCCCGACTCGAATTATAGTTAAGTCTAATATCGTCTTGTTTCACATTAATCTTGATGATACTAAATGACTTGATGACACTAAAATCCCCAACATAGTCTAGCAAGTTGTTGTTTTGGAAAATGCACGTGTCAGCCTGTTGAAAACAAAAATATATGTCGTTTGGTCTCTCCATTTATTTTGATATAGCTGCATAAATAACAATAACCATGTTTAAAGTTGCTTAATCCATGATATGTTATGACCATTTTCTAGTATTTTTCTCCGAGGCACCTAATAGAGCTTCCTACAGTATTGGAATAACACTTAAAGTAGTTTATGTTTTAAATTTTAATTTGAAATGAGTCAATTATCAAAGTATAGTCGAGTAACACGTATGAGGATTTTAATCGATCAACCTGGAACGTATTAGAATACATGCTTATTGATATTTGGATAAAATAATATTAGTCTGCTATCCTAAATTTCCAGTTAGACCCTTAAATATAACAAAGAACATTTCATGACCGAGAATTCCAAGTGAGTTTTATATGCTATATTATGTTAAATGTTACATTTCCTTTGTGGGTATATGTAATATGTCGTTTTCATGTTATATCTAAACGTTATTATGAAATATTTGATGCAAGCATGTTTTGTTTTGAAAATGCATGAAGGGTAAATATTATTTACACATTGTGATGTGTGGCGGTGGGGCGTGTTGTTGACTCGTATAGTGGGAGTTGGGTGTCATAAGATGGACGCTTCACATGCTAGTTTGTTGTAAGAGCAAGGCTGTCTTTTGTCATACTTTCATATCTTTGTCATAAATTTTAACTATAAGAAAAGAAAATGAGTCATTACAGCTATAGAATAACAATATATTAGTGGTATACACTCAATAGAGAATGTCACAACCACTACTCAAGGTCGATAGAGTCAAACAAATTATACATGAAATACTTGGAACATGATATTTTTGAAATGTTTTTTAAAACGTGTGAGGTCAATATTAAATAAAACAACTAATTGGCTAGGTGT